CAAATCCACGAGAGCCAAAATACGAGGTTGAGCATGTCCCACCTGAATTTAGAGTCCATCTCAAGAACAGATTTGACTAATGGAACACCAATGACCCAAGATCAGAGGCGCTGTGGATTAAAGCAAGAACATCAAACATGAAGAGAGAGGAAGAAAAAAAAAAAATCATTAAAAAGACAGGAAAGAAATAATAGACAGAAATGGATGTCAAAAGAAATGCTGGAACTTACTCTAGAACATAGGGAAGCTTCAATGACTAGAAGAAATGATGAAGTAAAAGAGCGGAATAGAAAATTTCAAAGGCCATCTTGAGATAACAAAGTATTCCTATGGAATGTTCAGAGAGCTGGAGTTAGAAAACCGAAAGGGAAGAACATGCTCAGCATTTCTCAAACCGAAAGAACTGGATTAAACCATTTAAGCCTCAGCTTGTGATACTGAAAGATGTAAAATATTGCATCTATCAGCAAAATACTGAATGATGCAGAAAGCATCAAAAGATGAAAGGGAAAGAAAGAGACTGTGGAAAGGCAAAGCATGACAAAAGAGAAAGAACAAGTAGGAGGCCTCTCATTTTCTGATCTCAGAACTTACTACACAGCTACAGTGATCAAAACAGGCTGCTGCTGGTATAACGAAAGACACATGTTGTTGTTGTTGTTGTTGTTAGGTGTTGTTAGGTGCCCATCACGACTCATATGCGACTCTATGAACCACAGAACAAAACACTGCCCAGCCCTGCACCAACCTCACAATCATTGCTACGCGTAAGCCCACGTATTGCTACCGCTATGCCAATCCATCTCATTGGAGGTCTTCCTTTTTTTCTCCAGCCCTCCAGTTTATCAGGAATGATGTCCTTCTCCAGGGCTTGGTCTCTCCTAATAATATGCCCAAAATATAAGAGACGAAGTCTGGCCATCCTGGCTTCTAAGGAGCATTCTGGCTGTACTTCTTCCAACACAGATTGGCTTGTTCTCCTGGTTCCTTTAATATTCTCCTCTAATACCATAACTCAAAGGCATCAATTCTTCTCCAGTCTTTCTGATTCACTATTCAACTTTCACATACATATGAGGCTACTGAAAATACTTTGGCTTGGGTCAGGTGCACCTTAGTCCTCAAACTGACATCTTGGCTCTTGAACACTTCAAAGAGGTTTTGTACAGCACATTTGCCCAATGCAATACATCGTTTGATTTCTTGACTGCTGTTTATGAGTGTTGATGGTTGATCTGAGCAAAATGAAGTCTTTGATAACTTCAATCTTTCTCCATTTATATGTACGTTGTTTATTGGTCCAGTGGTAAGGATTTTTGTTTTCTTCACATTGAGGTGCAACCCACACTGAAGACTGTGGTCTTTGATCTTCATCAGTAAGTATTTTAAGTCCTTGTTTCCGCAAGCAAGGTTGTATCATCTGCCTACGGCAGGCTGTTAACAAGTCTTCCTCCAATCCTGATGCCACTTTCTTCATATAACCCATCTTCTTGGATTATGTGTTCAGTAACCAATGGAATAGAATTGAGAACCCAAAAGTAAATCCATCAACATATGCTCAGCTGATCTTTGACAAAGGGTTAAAACATATTAAACGGGGACGAGAGAGTCTCTTTAATAAATGGTGCTTGCAAAACTGAAAACCTATTTGCAAAAGAATGAAACAAGACCCAGTTCTCATGCCACATACAAAAACACAAGAAAAAAGATGAAATAAACAAATATCCCTTTTAAAAATGTGCAGAGGGCAGAAGCAGACACTTCCCCAGAGATGACATTCAGGTGGCCAACAAATATCTGAAGACATGTTCATCACGATCATTAGCCACTGTGTTGTTCTTGTTAAGTGTTGTCAAGTTAATTCTGACTCATAGTGACCCTGTATAGGGTTTCTGAGGAGCAGCTGGTGGACTTGAACTTTGACCTTGCAGTTCAAACTGACAATGAGGTCTAGTGCTCATCCTAGCACTACACCAGGACTCCTTTTTAGCCATTTTATCGTTCAGTGCCATCAAGTCAGTTCTGACTCATAGTGACCCTGTATAGGATTTCCAAGGAGTGACTGGTGGGTTTGAATCACCAACCCTGTGGTTAGCAGTCTAGGACTGATCCTTCAACACCACATCAGGACCCTCATTAGCCATTTGTTGTCTGTTGTTATTAAGTGTGGTTGAGTCAGTTCTGACTCATAGAGACCCTGTATAGGGTTTCCAAGGAGCAGCTGGTGAGCTTGAACTGCCAATCTTGCAATTCAAACCAACTTTTTAGTATAGCGCATTAACGCACAGTGCCACACTAGGACTCCGGGAAGTCATTAAAGGAGATAGCATCTCACCTTAGCATTAATAGAAAAGTTCACAAAATCAGAAAACAAAAAATGCTGGTAAGGATGTGGCGAGGTTAAGACCCTCCTATGCAGGCCTGGTGTGGCGCTGTGGGTTAATGCGCCAGACTGCAAAGCCGTTTGAACTGCAAGGTCGACAGTTCAAGGTCACCAGCTGCTCCTTGGAAACCCTACACAGGGTCGCTATGGGTCTGAATTGACTCGACAGCACTTCACAACAACAACAACAACAACAACAGTGCTGATGGGACTGCAGAAGAGTGTAATCACAGTGGGAAACAAATACGGAGCTTCCTCAAAAAGTTGGAAATAGCAGTACTGCATGGCTCGACAATTCCTCTACTTGGTATATATCCTCAAGAAATAGGAGCTGTGATATGA